CTTTCCAGCTCTGTGGGTCTAGATTCTTATTGTGTTTATCCTATAGGTTTGTAGTGCTCTTGTAGGGTTCCAAGACCTCTCCTTTGTGGGGAAGGACAATATTAACAGATCACAATATCAACAATATACCACCTATGAACAATTTGTTGTTATTAAGACGTTTACAGTTTAGTCTCGCTGTACAGAAATGTTGGATTCAATTATTATCTAAAATATAACCAGTAGGTTTGTAAAAAGGTTTACAGCTTCTGATGGTGGACAATAAACTGGGGGTCAGGTGTATGACGATATGCTGAGGAGGTAGGATGTGAGGATATAGAGTTAAAATATCTTAGGAATTGTGAAGGAGAAATCTAGTGAAGAGAGTTAGTAGCAAGAGAAAAGACAGGAAGTAATTAAGGTAGGCAAATATGTGGGATGACAATAGAGTATATAAAACACACATATGTATTTAGAAAAATACAGATGTTAAAACACTAAAATTTGGAGGGGGCAAGAATAAAAAGGAAAAGAAAAAAAGGGCATATACAACACCTCTATATTATATTATTCAGATGACTCACTCCTCAAAGTCCTATTTTATGCAAAGTTCTTGGTTTCACATATGTTGGGGATGTGAGGGCCGGAGGATAGAGAGGTAGAAAAGAAAAAACAAACAAACAAACAACTCAAAGGAAGAAATTAGGGTTGTAGCTAGCTTTAGAGATCTGCATCTTTCCTGCTTCTCTTCTCATACCGTAGGTGGGGAAGACTGTTGTTACCTTGTGTCTCTGCCCTCTGGATGGTGGAGGTGATCAGGGTGGGAAGACTGGTCCTGGCACAGGGCAACTGGATGTGGGGAGTGGCACCCTCTAGTCCCTGCAGAAAGACTGCACCTCATGGGTCTCTTTCTGGGACTGCTTGTATGACTTGAGCGCCTGGTACTATCTCCCTCTCTTGCCTGGAGATTTCCCAGTTCCTGGTCTCTTGTTAGGCTTTAGCCCTGTCTCCCTCTCCCCTAGCAGTGGATTTCTGTGGAGAGCAGCTGAATAGGGGTCCTCTAACACTCTCAGAGATGGAGTATTCCGACTAGGTGAGATCTGCCAGCATGTCAGTGCAGGGCACGGGGCGGCTCATTCCCTTCCCACCACCATGTTTTTCTGGAGAAAAAACATGCCAATTTCATCATCACACAAAGAACTGTTTTAGTGATTAAGTTATTAAATATAATTATTTGACATATTATTTTAGGTGCTAAATTTATTATAGACTGCAATTTTCAGATTTGGTAAAAATATTGATTTTTTTTCGTTTTTCATGCATTCATTCATCAAATATCATATCACTACTCTAAGAGTAGTGAAAACAAAAATTATCTTCTGATCTGTCTTTCTAGCAGACAGAAAGTATATCTATAACATCTTGTGAAGCTCAAATATTTCTGCATCGAAAGAATATTGAATGTACTCTTTGCAAAATATTACTTTTTAAAGTTTGATTTGCATATTGAACCTTACTGTTTTTTTTAAATATATTGTTTTAGTTGTAGATGGACACAATACCTTTATTTTATTAATTTATGTGCCTAGAATTGAACCCAATACCTCACACGTGCTAAGCAAGTGCTTAACCACTGAGCCCTGGCCCCAGCTTACTGTTTTTTAATAACATTATTATTACAGAATATACTCTAAGCCTATATCAGAACACTGTCTGAAATGAATGTTAGGTTATGAATGAGGCAAATATGTGTTTAATAGTTTATAATCTAGATAAATTAAAGAGTCCAGTTTATAAAGCCTTAACACCCTTTTCCTTACATGATGCTTGAAAACATAAGGTTTGATTTCATTTGCATGCAGAAAGCAGTAATTTACCAGTCTAGTCATAGAATCATTATTCCATCAGGAAGGATTTCCATGAGGTTCCAGATTTGTTTCCCTTTATCAAAAGTGTAGTATTCGTGGAAAACTGTAAGGCAGCTCAGTAAAAGTAAAGTAGTAGAACCTTTTAAGGATTGAGTTTTGCTTGGGTCATTTAATTAATTTATTTATTTAGAGGATTTAAGAAAGTGAGGGCTCTTCTGATTTGAATGTTGTCAGGAAGCAGGGGCAATTTGATGATACGAATGAAATTGAGCTGAAATTTTCAATGGAAAAGAACTACTCATGTTAGTGGAGAAAGGGCTATATCTAGTCATTTTTGTGGTTACATAATGCTTTTGTCTCCTCAGAAATGACAGTGGTTTTATGTTGATTTTGCTTTTTCTATTTCATGACTTTATGTGATATTGCTTTTAAAGAAATTGTAATATGCTTATATTATTTATGGGTAACTACAATAATTTAGGTGTTAATTGCCATTTAGGCTACCCAAGTGTCAGGGCTGATTGTCTTGTTTTTGTCTTGTTTGCTTTGTTTGGGCCTTTCCCCCATAGAAGTAAAACATATTATTAAAGTATGACACCACAAAAGGGTATGGTTTGTTCTGGTATGACTAGAAGGATGGGTACATGTGGGCAAGGTTAATATCCTCAATTTGTGTCATAACAGTAGTTTAATGATTGATTAGTAGAATATAAGACGGACAAGGACAGTAGTTTAAGAATAGTTCATTGGTCATTGTTTTAGAAGAATAACAGATGTCTGAACTAAGGCAACAATCACGAAGATAAAGAGCAGGGAATACGTTTTGGAAATAATTTGATGTTCAAATCAGAAAGACTTTATTTATCAATAAGATATTACTTCATTCACTGATTGAAGAAAGAGTGAAGGAGAGAGGAAAAGTTAAGACTGACTGCTTATTCATATTTGACTCATGTGATTGAGCAGATAGTTGGTACTCTTTAGTAAAATAGGGAATTCAGGAAGAAGAAAAGATTTGGGAAAAATAATGAGTTCACTTTTGAATATAATATGTATAGAAAAGTAAGATTCAGAAACTGGTTGGATATGCACATAGGTCCTTGATTTGCTGACAAATTATTAAATAGTAAAGGATGCAGCTAGTTTCCTTACTGGTAAAAGGTAAGGGAACCCCAAATTTGACAGTCAAAAGATTAGTGGTCATGTAAGGAGAACTGTCTAGAAAATCTAGTGTCCTGTACCTTAGATTTCCTTTTCTTCAGAGGGATCTCTTAGCAGTCACTACAGAAATGCTCTTAATGACTGAATTCTGGGACCTGGTATCATGGGTCACTACTCTCCATTTTCTTTTGCAATCTGAACTGAATTCTTTTCTCAATTTCCTACAACATGGCTAAGAAACAATTATGTTTAAACAAGACTTTACTAAAGGTTCAAGAAAGCAATAAGAAAAATTGTTACTGAAAGTAATATGCACTTAACTCATCTGACTATGAAATGTGCCTGGTGTTTGTATGCTGCACTGTATACCCTTTGTAATCCCCATGGGGAGATCTGTCTGAATAGCCTCCCAGCCTGCATAATACCAATTTCCTTCCATCACAAAACACACCCTTGAACAAGGCTAGATACCTTTAGGCCCCAAAATGCAGGGGCAGAAAAGCCATTCCTTTACTCCCTGATATCTCCATCTTCCCAGTCCTGTATCCTCTTCCTAGGAATCCTTCCTCTTTGGGGAATAACATCAGTACTGTCAGAGTATACTTATCTCTACCCATAGAAAATAATAGAAGATTTAGAGCATAGTAGATACAATGCCTGCTTAGTTTTAGATTATTCCTTAAAATTACTTATTGTTCAAAGTCCCTTCTAAAAAATATGTATCTCTCTAGTCTTCAAAGTTGTACCATATGCTCTGGACCTTCAGGCTCAGCTAATTGGATCAATAGTACACACATAACCCAGCGGATACCAATCCAAAGGGTGTTGAGACAAATTCTATTCTCTCTCTTAGAATTTGGAATTAAGACCTCAAGAATAACTTCATGTTACTCATTACCAAATAATGTTGGGCCTGGGCTAGGATGGCCATTTTATTCAAATTCATGCTGATGATTGAACAGTGAAAGCCACTCTATAGACAAAAGCAGAGAAAGGGAGCAAGTGACAAAAGAAGTAGGCAAAACAGATGGTGATTCCATTTGAGATAAAAATTGAAGTCTTATAGTTGTTTCAGTCCTCCTCTATTAATATTTTGTTCCCGAACTGAGGTTGTCAATAAAGGCTTACGATAAAACTATCTTATTTAAATCAGTTCAAATGGACGCCTGTTTTGTTGTTGTTTCCCTTATCTTTGCAATCAGTATTACTCTGACATAATGGGGTATGACTATAGGATTGACTTGGTGGGGCATGTACTATCTCTAATGGTCCATAATTGATTGAATTATAGGAAAAATTTGCCATCATTTTGTCAAATTAATGATATCAGGATATCCGAAATGTTAAAATTTTTTATTTAGAGAAAAACTGGATCATGAATTTTGCACATTGTTTTTGTCATGTGTATCAACTTGGGATAAAGATGTTTCTTGATTCTTTAAAGGTATATATTGTCAAGTTTTAGTGGTAGTAGAAGTTTCTGTTTGCCACAGAACAATATTGTAAAATATTTACTAAACAAATTCATGATAAAAGCATCATGACAAATTCCTGAGCATTTGTTATTTACTATAAATACTACCATTTTAAGAAAAGAATATGTATGCATCAGTGGCTTAAAAATATATTATGAACTTACCTATTTATTCACACTGATTGTGTCATGATAAAGATAATATTATCTGTTGCAATTTCTTTTTAGACAGTCTGCTGTATTGCCTATGCTAGCCTCACACTGGAAATTCTCCTGCATAGTCTTCCTGAATAACTGGGATTATAGGCATGTAACACTATGCCCAGCTGCCTTTTGCCATTTTTAGTAGCCATTTTATACCATTTAGATTCTTCACATGTAGGCAGTTCTCTTGAAAGAATACTATACCAGTAGCCATTTTATGATAATATTTATTTTTCTTCCATCTGTAATTAAAGTTTATGGACATGGATGCTATTGTGAAAGGAAAAGGTGACATAAAACTTATTTCTTCTCAGATAGAAAAAGTGAAGTGGAAGCATCAGCAAATATTCCTCTGTCCTCTGGTTATAGTACAGAAACAGATTCAACTCCCAGAGCTTCAACTGTTATTTACAGTGGTTTGAAAGAGACTTCGGAGGTAAGAAAAACTGACAGCTGTACAGATGATCTCCTTTCTAAGGTCAAGAAAATCAGCAAGCATTCACTTTAGTTGTATATGCTATTATCAGGAAAAAGCAAAACTATGTAAATCTTAATCTATCAAAATTCTTTGTGATAAGTAACAGTAATCGATGCAATATTTCAGACTGTGTTTTATATATTCATGGTCCGTCTTTGAGGATGATTTACTTTGAGAAATCGCCTAAATTTGTTGCTTTTTAAATTAAAGGAAACAACAATCCAGAAATTGGAAAGGATGAAAAAAATGTAAGTAACAGAAAGGGGCAACAGAAATTAATTTCTCTGTAGGGAATTGTATTGGATTACAATATATATAGAATGTGCATGTGTTTCAAACCTTAAAGGTCTCAATCAGGTGTGGAATTTCCTTCAAGACTCCAGTGGATAATAAATCCACCTACAATTATGTGTTTGTGAGATGAGTCACTGTTTTGGTTTCCAAGAAGTGGTATAAAACATTGTTAATGGAATTAACTGTGGATTAAAGAGTGCAAAGATATTTTGGGTTGATAGTTAATCGAGTTATCTTTTTTGATAACTGACTTATCAAAATATTAAAAATATATAAATAAATGGTTTAAAGCATCTTTTTCAGTAAGTTATTGATAAAGTAATACTATTGATAGTACTTTAGCTCAAATGACATTACACCTGGTATTTTTTAAAGACCAGTTCAAAGGAAATACAAAATGAAATTTTATAACAATATTATACAACCTACTACATTAAAAACTTAATATTTTGAAATGTGAGAAGTGTTAAAATAACTCATGCTTCAAGAATTGACTATTTTTTGTCTCCTATGATATACTTAAGTTTATTAATAGCAACTATGCCTAAAAGTAGGGAAAATATTAAAATTTATTTTAGACTCAAAAGCATACAATTTAAATCCTGTTCTTCATTATGAATCATTTATTTGCGTAACATATCATTTGTTTATTTTATTTCAGGTTTGAAGAAACAGCAGAGTTACTGAAATGCTCAAGTCACTAATTGTAGAATTTCCTGCATGAACCTCTCTAGAACTTTGACTACTGTACATGTTGTATATTTTAAGAATCTATATAATTTTAATATACTGCAATTTTTATTAAGAATTTGAATTCCATTTGATATGAGTTTTTCATTCATTATTGAATAAATATTATTTTTGAGCTTTGATTATACTGCTTTACTCTCCTTCACTTTTCTTAGGAAAAACTTATGTTTCAGTACATTACCTTTACAGTGAAGTCATTACAGCAAGCACTGTATTTTTGTGTTGACATTTGTTGGCAATGTGCTAAGTAATATGTTTTTTAAAGTACAAACTTGAGGACCATAGTTTACATCCTGTTGGAAACATTCCAGCTAGGACTTGCATATTGTACCCAAGAGGCTCTCATACATACCATCTTGCCATCTGTGCTAACGAATAAGCAGTAGTGAAAAGTTAAAAATGCTCACTGAAAATTAAAGCTAAAAAATACAGCTATTTTATGCTTAGTCAAAAAGCAGCAGTACCTTTCCAATTAACACTGAGAATCAGGGTATGATTCTCTTTTTGTATTGAAAAGGTTCTGAAAGATCACTTTGAGAGATGTGTTGAGTATTTAAGTTCCCCAGTGTATAACATTTTAAGACCAGCAGCACAGATGCAGATGGTGGCTGTCAGAAGATACACAGTGAAATTTTTTTTTCTCTTGATGGAAGTTGTAAATATTTTCAAATAGTAAAAGCCTTAGATGAAGTTAAATCAAGAGAAAATGAAATTCATTTTAGAAATTATTACATATATACTTCTAAACTTTGTAAATAAAAATATACTAATAATCCTAGGCAATACTCAGGAAACTTGAAGGATAAAAAGTTTTTTTTTCTTTTTTATCATATAGAACATCTGATTGCATCCTACTCATCTGTTTTCAATACATATATCTAATTTTCACTGGTGAACAGATAACTTTTTTGAAAAAGTATTTTTAATATCCCAACAAATGTTGTCACTAGACTTTTAAAACTATTAGCTTTTTATGTTAGCCTATTAAAGAATATAACCTTGAATTTAGCAAAGTTTTAATAGTACATCCAAAATTAATGAATCCTGTTAGCTTTATTTTATCAATTACAGGAGAGCATTTATAAAACTCCACAGTTTTGAAAGAACAATACATCGGCTTCTATCAGTTCTAGTGTGGAATTATAGCACCACCTTGTGGTTGATACGCTAATATTTTACCTTTTCTTGAAACATGATTTCCCATAAAATAGAATCTTATTTTTCCTTTTGAAAAAACTGAATTCCAATTTTAAAAATAAACATTTTTGAAGTTTTCTTGTAGAAGACAGAAGAAAAGGTAAGTTCCTTTTTCTCTTTCTGTAATCCTCCTTTTTTCTTTATATAGTATAAATGTAAACAAAATTTAGATGTTTTAAAATATTTTAATCTAATTTATTTCTAATATTAGAAAATATGTGTCTATTGAAAATGTAATAAGACATTTTTTATTTATGTTACCAAGTAGAAATTTGGAATCCAAATTTGGAATCCAGCTTAGCCAGGAACAAACAAAACAACTCATATAACTATATATGTTTACATTTACAAAGAGTCTATACTATTTTGAACACATAATATTTACAAAAATAAAGCAAGTTTGATTTAAGCTAAGTTACTGAAGAGGATTGTCAAATTATTTCTTATTCTAACTCTTTTAGAAATAGTAGAAACATTTTTCTATAGGTAATTTGGTAAGTGGTTTATAACAATAAACCAGCCCCTTTGGGGAGTTTGAGAAGCTGAGGTAGGGAAGTCCTGGAGAGATTATCTGGGGTTACATAATTGACCCTTAGTTAACTGTAAGTTTTAGACTACCAACAGGTGTCAGTGGCTTGTGCTGCCCTGTTTACATTGTACAGTCCAAATAGTCTGGGTAGAGACAATATATAATACCACGAAGAATGCATATTGTGTAAAGTACTAGTAAGAAAGTGTTGAAAATAATTAATGCCAACTATATGAAAATTCTAGACAAAGTAAAGGTATATTATGTTAGGAAAAAGTAGTTCTATCATGTTTGTTTTACTTCACTGTTTTAATGTGATGTTTTAACATGTAATATATTCCTTGAAAAATAAAACTTAAAGACTTTGGAACTGTGTTTTATGCCATTCATTACTCAGAGCTTTATATAACTGATTGGCACTTGGAGAAGCATTAAAAAATAAAAGGACCTTGTCAATTTTATAAACTACAACACTTTTTAAAGCTCAAATTACATTATAGCTTTAATTTTTACATTTTAACAATTCCCAGGTTTCTCTGTCTCTTTTCTTTCAATCCAAAGAATGCAGAGAGAATAAAGTAGTAGAGGTAGTATAAAATTTTAAACTACAAAATTAAACTTTAATTGTTATGACACTTGAACTTTAGTATTTCTAGTGAAAATGATAGGCTTCTTATGCCACTCAAAACGAGAGAAAGCAACTGGAAACTTTCCATTACTGACAGCAGTATTTAGAACGTGCAAGTTTTTTTCTGTTGGGGAATTTTTTAAGTTATATTTTATCATGATTTATATTTGTAATACTTATAGAAATGGGGCCTATATAAATGTATATGTCCTTTTTCCTCACTGAAGTTCACTAACTCAAAAATAAAAATATTTAGGTAGATAGGTTTTTTTATTCTTTAATTATTGATACATATTTGAATTGTTTCCAGTTTGTACATAATGCTGCTGTAAACATTCTTGCATATGGTGAACATAGTTAGGCATTTCCATTGTGTATATGCCTAATCATTTTTTTTCTTTTTCTTTTTGTTTGTTTTTAGATATACATGACAGTGGGGTATATTTTGACATACTTACATGGAATGCAACCCATTCTAATTTTGATTACATTCTTGTGGTTATACATGATGTGGAGTCACACTGAGCATAGGAACAATAATTAAAATGTTTGAGGAAACGAATGAAGATAAATTATTTTAACAAACATTGCTTGGGCACATTTTTCTCAGCCATGATTCCTTATCTCTGGTGTTAAGAACTCTCCTTATAACACTTTTTACATAAGAATTTTTTTCTGTCTCTGGTGATGAGATGTTTCTGTTCTCCTGGTATGGGGTAGGGATGGCATAGTGCCCATTTTGTATCTGCTATTTTTCAAGTGCCTTTAGCTTAAAATAATCCATTTGACAAAAGTGGCATATTTTATAGTGGCATATTCTGCCACCCTTCACTATCAAAAACAGAATACGAAATCTCACTTAGCCAAAGATAATTGCTACTACCAGTCTCCCCCATCTGAGTCCCGTTGTTATTACTATGCTATCCTTTATTCTTCATTCTATTTCATATGTGTATTTCCTTTCCCATTTTCATTGTATGACCTCAAGGTTTTCTCTCTGTTTGCACTATCTACTGATCACCCTGTTGATATCTTACCCCTTCAGTGTATCCATACAACTTCCAAAGTAAGTTTTTGAAAAGTTCCTTTGATTATGCCATGTTGCTACTAAAAATGCCTTTAGTTTCTCCTATTCGGCAAAAAAAAAAAAAAAAAAAAAAAAGAAAAAAAGAAAAAAGACAAACTTCTTAGGCTGAGCATCAGAGGCTTATTTCTCTGTAGTCTCATCTTCCTTTCCAGATCATCTGCAATTCTGTAGACAGTCTAGGTGCTCTCTTAAATTGTGCTTTTGCACATGATCTCCTTTGCTAAGAATGACTTTTCTTTCCATCTAGTGAACCTCAAAGCCACTTTACCTTTCTTGGGTAGGTTTCTCTCAACTACAAAGTCCAAGTTATAAACTTTCATCTCCGCTGCCTTAGTGGCTTGTTTATACTTTTGATTTTTACATTGAGTTTATAGCTATTATTAATTATTTTTAGTCTCCGAGTGTACCTATTATTTGTTTATTTTTTATTCACTATCAACTAAATGATAATAATTATTGACTGAACAATGACTACTGAATAAGTAAGGATTTCCAGATGAGTAAGATTTTATCACGTCAAAAGCTGGGACCTGTCATCTATGTTATAATTGTTCTATGGGAGGAATCTATATTTTCAGGAAAAAAGATATAGTTGTATATCCTAGAAAAGAATCGTCCTAAACTGAATACCTCTTTGATATATTAACAAATACTTTTAGAATGAATGAAAGTTTACTGAATTGTTCCCAAGGTGCCAGTGTGTCAGGCACTGGACATAGGGAGATAACAAGGAAAAGATGGTTCCTATACTCACCAAGATAATGACTGAGTAAGAGGGATAACTTAAAAAGCAATAACAAATTGTAGTCAGTGCTGTGATAAGGGAAGGCTGATACATCTAAGTAATCAAGGTTGGTGGGAAGGCTTCTCAGAAAGTGATGTTAATTTTAAGTCCTAAAGGATGAATTGTGCTGTGGTTTGAATCATAATTTTAAATTGTTTTAATTTTAATTTTATGATTTGAATTTTAATTATCAGTTAATTTTAAGTCCTAATGGATAGCCAGACATTATGGTTTAAATATGGTTTATTCCCTCCAAAATTCAAATTGGAATTGAATTGCTATTGTGAGGTCTTAAAAGGATAAAAATTGAATCTGACTATGGTGTTTTCTGATGAGGCCTTTGGGAGGTGCTTAGTATTAGATCAGGTTGAGGGCATGAAGATTGAATGCCAATGGCTTTATTAGAAGCCAGAAGCACACACATGCTCCTTGTCTTGCCATGTGATACCATTCTCTCACATGCACTCCCTCCATGACATCTGCCTAATATAGGCAAGTGGGTCCTCACCAGATCTAGCACATATACTTTTTTGGATGTCTTAGGCTCCAGAACTGCAAGCTAACTAAATGTCTTTTCTTTCTAAGTTGCCTAATCTGTGTTATTGTGTTAGTATTAAAACATTAATACACCAGCAAAGATAGTTTACATAAAAGGACTAGCATGAACAAAGGCATGGGAAGAAGGGCATTTGAAAGAAAGTCACTAGGGCTAGCTAGCATACTGAGTTTGCATTGTGTCTATGGGAGCAAGGTGGTCAGAAGTCAGTTTACATAGGCCCCAGGAGCACATTAACTTTATTTACTGAAAAATTTTAAGCTGTAAAAATCACAGTCAGACTGGAGTTTTTGAAGGATTGATTTTAGTGGTTTAGTATGGAGAATGGATAAGTGGACAAA